CGATTATCCAATTGCCCAAGGATGTTTCCGCCTGCAAGGACTATTATGTCCCGGTGTTTATGATTCTGGATCAAGCCATGAATGGTTTGAGAGTTGCCGCCAAAGCTTGGAACTTGAAGCTGGCGACAGTTGTGAAGAAAGTTGGGTTGAAGCAATGCCCAACGGAACCTTCCGTCTTCGAGGGCACTGTGAGAGGGAAAAGATTCCTCATGTTGTGCTATGTGGACGATTTGATTCTGTGTGGCACTAGAGATGCCATTCGGTTGGTGACCGACACCCTGAACGGAGAGTTGAAGATCAAGGAAACGGGTCGAATCACTTCCACTGGTGGAAAGATCACCTTTTTGGGGCGAGAGATTGAGAGACAAGGGAGTCATCTCAGGATGCGAGTGCCCCCGGCATACTTAGATGCCCTGTTCGAGACAGAGTTCTGTAAGGACCTGAAGGTGGTTACTGCTCCTCCGGACATCGTGAAAACGGTCGAGAAGGGCAGAGCAAGTGGTTCGGATCCTGAGTTGAGTGACACTGCAGCTGCGAGGTACAGAGCAGTACTTGGCCGGATTGCATGGTGGGGTCAGTCGAGACCTGACCTGAGTAGGTGGATGTCCATTCTTTCGCAAGGACAGTCCAAGCCAACAGCATGCTTTGAGCAAGCATTGCGACAAGTGATTAGGTTCCTAAAGGGACAATACCATGCATGGCAGTACTTTGGCCCTGATGGGAATGTACCGGACAGTGGGCCGGCGCAGCTGGAAGTGTATGCGGATGCCAGTTGGGCACCCCAAGCGTCGTTAGGACGAAGATCTGTGTCGGGCATAGCCATCTTTTATAGAGGATGCCTGATCAAGGGAATCTCTCGAGTTCAAGGGTGTGTATCGCTGAGTTCTTGTGAAGCCGAGTTGAGAGCCATCTTGACTGCGGTACAGGAGAGTGAGGGACTTGCGACTTTGATCGGTCAGTTGGCCGAGTCAGATGTCACGATCCGATTGCACACTGACAGTTCCTCAGCGAGAGCGGTTTTGCTAAACCGTGGGTTGAGTAGGCGAGTTCGCCACTTAGACATCGCTGTCTGCTATCTTCAGGAGCGGATACAGGAAGCTCAGACCTTGAAGGTCATTTGGTGCCCGACAGCGGGAATGATCGCTGACGTTCTTACAAAGTGCTTGAGTCAAGTGACATTCTGTCAGCACCAGCAAGCTATGGGTATATACCCTGGTGAAGATGTGCAGCAGGTGTGGAGGATCTGTGGAATCCGACCAAGGGTTGGAGTTCAGGCATGCCAGTTTGCCGAGGCAACTGGATGCAGTGTGGAGCAAGTTGGATCGTTGAAAAGTGTGAAAAAGTGTGGCGAAGTTTTTGAAAATTTCCAACTTAGAAGTCCCGAAACCCTTCGTGAAGACTCTTCCCCTGAGGTTCAAGAAATGGATTTATGGTCCAACCGCAAAAGCTTTGGTTCAAGCACCACGGAAGCTAGCCCTAGCCTGGAGCCTGTACCTTTGGTGAAGGACAGGAAAATGGCAGCTGAAGACAGCAGGAAGGGTGAGCAGGGTGCTGAGATGAAAAGCCCCTTTTGGTGTAAGGTTTGCAAATGGTTGTTCAGATCCGAGCATGCTGCCGGGTTGAGCTGGGATGAAAGTGGCAAGCCCAAGTGCGAAAAGTGCAAACAGACTGTGACAGTCTCTGGCACGGATGCAAGCCATGCATTCCATCTCCGAGAGGCAGAGAAGGAGCGCCGAGCTGCTGGAAAAAGGGGTGATAAAGGTGAAAGCCGAGGCTCAGGCCAAGCTGCACCGAAACCCAAGGCCATGCCGAAGGTGATTGAACGGATGGTCGACGTGTTTCCGGAGCTGGCGGATCCAGAGCCGCCGAAGTGGTTCGGTGATGTGTCATGGAGTATCTGCCGGCGCGGAACTCCAGTGGATGAGCTAGAGCTCAAGGACGTGGTAGGCACGCTATCCGACAAGGATATGTTGCGCTATCAGAGCTCATACGAGAAGCTAGTGAAGCCCATCCAGGAGGTGTGTGAGCTACAGGAGAAACCCACGAAGATCTTCGGAATCTTGGATGTCCGTGGACAGATTGGTGGCAAGGCCATCATCTGGGAGATGGCAGTGAATGAAGGAGGACTGTACATGGAAGTACCGCCGGGAACGTGTGGCCTGGCGATGTTGAGCTTCGTGAGGTACTTGAAGAGAAAAGGGATAGTCCCTGTTTTGCTTCTGGGTGAGCACCAGGACCTCGGAGTCTTGCGGATGGTGGATCTGTTGTGCATGCTACCCATTTTGGGAGCAGAGAGGGTCATGGAGGATGAAGCTGAGAGCTCGTATTATCCCCCATGGGTGTTGCGCTGGAAGAGAAGTGCAAAGGAAGGATCCTTGGTGTTTAAGGAACTGGTGGAGCGAGTGCGAGTGATTTCGATGTTGTCGTGTGATACACTTCGGATTCACGAGCCGGAGCTGAGGGAGAGACCAGTCCCCAAGTGGTCGTTTGTGGCCTACAGCCACTACAGATCCGTGATGGAGTCTGTTGCAGGATTCTTGGAGGACCTGGAGAAAAAGAAAGAGGAGATCACCGACACGCAGAGGGCGGCAAGCTGGAAGAAGGTGGTTGCGAGTGAGACTCGAAGCGGTGTTGTGTGGATCTGCAAGTGTAAGTGGCACTTGCCGACCGACTATGTGGTGAGGTTCAACTTGACGTTGCCTGCCGACATGTGGCAGCAAGCCTTTGGGATCATGGGTGAGAATGTTGGGAAACTCGAGAAGGAGGAAAAGGACCTGAAGCGGATCCTCAAGGCTGCAGCGGAACAGCAAGACCGAGAGTTCGAGGAAGCTGAGCGAAAGCGCAAGCGCATCGCCGACCTGTCAGCTGCCGAGGAAGAAGCTGCTAAGAGAGCAAAGCTGGAAGGCGAAGCGGTTCGCTCGCCTGTGTCAGTTGTACCATCTGAGTTGGATGCAGCAGCTATCGCGCAGATTGCTGAGCGTGTGAAGGCAAGCTTTAGTGTTGCCGATTTGGAGCTGATGTTGGAAGAGAAGAAGAGAAAGGTTGGAGACCAGCCAACTGAGAGGCCTGCGGAGACGCCAGCTGAGCCTAGCCGATCTTCGCAGGAGGTGATGATGGAAACGAGGACGGCTGAGTTGGCGGAGATGAAGGAAGCCGCCAAGGAGCGCCGCGCCAAGTTGATGGAGTCAACTGGAGCTGGCGAGAAGAAGGGCGAAGAGGATGAAGAATGAACTGAGATGCTAAGTGATCTCAGTGGTTGGGTGGGTGAGTGAAACCCGCAGCCATTTTTTTGGAAGCCATGGCCGCGTTGCCGCCATGGAGCGCCCGCGATTTTTCTGGTTAGTGTGAGCCCTTGTTTCAGTGCATGAGAAGTTTGCAAAGAGGAGGCAAAATGATGATGAAACTCAACGAGGGACTCTATAGCCCCTTCTGCAAGGCGTCTGATTGCCACCTCTGAAGACGTTTTTGGCTGATGGTACGCTGGAAGAAGCGAAACTATGAAGCCAATCTTTTCCTGAAGGATCAGCTAGCCGATGCTAGTTGGTGAGTTTGGTGACCTGGAAGATGCGAGACTGAGGAGGAGTACCACGACAAGGTCGAGTGCTGAGTGGGAAACATCTGAAGCTTGCATTAATTCGTTTTCACGTGTTTGTCACCACGAACTCTTGGATTCGTTCCAAGACAACCCTGCCCCAGTGCAGGTGGATGCAAGTTTAATTCGTTTTTCACGTGGTTGGACAACGAACTCTTGGGTTACCAGTGATGTGGACCCAGGACAACCTGCCTGATGGTGGGATCTTGCATGAGTTTTAAGTTTGATGTCAGAGATCGACTGGTGTGTTGTTTGTTTCGTTTGGTGGCGAGTACGCACCAAGGGAATGTGGCCAGGGCATCCCCTTAGTGTTGAAGTGCCGAGCTGGGCTTGGACTTCAGATCTTTGACATGAACCCTCAGCAAAATGCGGGGGGTGGAAGATTGTGGCTGATCAGTGATGTTTTTGTCATGTTTTGGATCAGCTTGTATAGGTTTGTTTTGCTTCGGAGTGATTGGGAATCCGTGTGATCCCATCCTCGATGGTTTATGCCTCGTTGATTTCCAAGGAAATCATACGAGTGTGTTTTTGCCCAATACGCTATTTAAAGTGAGTGTGCAGTGTGTAGGAACTTCGTTCTGAAGCTGAGTTTAAGCTCACAAGAGAGAATTCGTTTAGTTTGTGCACTTCGTGACTTTTGGCTCAAGTGGCTCTGACTGTGAAAAAGAGAGAGTTGTCCGCACTTGTGTGAGAGGTCAGGGTTCGTGCTTTCAAGGGAAAAGGTACCAGAGGGACCTTCGGTTTTTCACGACTCTGACACGCAGGCACCACGGCACATTCATGGAAGGCCCATCCTCGGCACAGCCAACACAAAACTGCAAGCGCGAGACCATCTCCCACCTGGAAAAAGGGTGTGACACGGGTCTGCCTTGGGCAGAAGGAGTCAGATGACATGGGGGTCCAACCAATGATAGGCTTTCCCCTGAAAATGAAGCTGCACTATGACCCAAAGGAAGGCAACCAAAAGTTCGTGATACCCCTGCTCTGCCAATAGGAGCGACATGGCTTCGAGGCTATTGCCCTTGTTGTTCCAATGCCGACCATCAGCAGAGGAGTACCACTGCGCTAACTTGTCCCCAGGATGAGAATTAATGAGAATCTGGTCATAGATTTGGACTAGGGCATCATTGGGAACCTGTAGCAATTGGGACTGCGTAGTCTGAAGTTTGAGTAACAAAAAACTTGCAGACCTCGCCAACAAAAATGACTTGCGCAAGGAGGATGCCCTGAAATCCCGTCTGGGGGTCCTCAGGGGACCATAGCTGAAGGGAGTTCTAATCCGGGCGCAAATACTCTTGATAAATAGGAGTGGCTTCGCCATTGGGAGCTAGCTCGGTCAAACACTTAGTGATGGCCATCAAGGGCTGTCGCTCCAAACGCTCGCGGAGTGACATGTCACGCTCAATTTTCATGTGGGAGTCACGGCCCCATCATCGGGCCTGAAATATCGCTTGCCGTTGCGGAATGCACGGTAGGGGGAGCGGGAGTCTTGCTCCGTAATGAAAATGAGTTTCAGAAATCCTGCCGCAGTGGTCAAAAGGTGGTTTGTAACCGATTGGATACTACCGAAAGTAAGCTCTGCTACCGTAAGCAAATACTGCAAGTTGTTGTCAATGGCCTTTCGGTTAGAGAAAGGGGGGATACCGTGTATGATCAACGTTCTTCGATGCAAATCTGACTCGGAGGCGATGCCCGAGAAGTGCTGAAGGGTGAGTCGCTTCGAGACCGTTTGGAGCCTTTCATTCAAGCTGGAGTTGGCTTCGCTGGCTACCTGTTGAATCGCTGGCATAACATGCTCGGTGTGATATCGCTCTAGAACTTCTTTGAGGTTGTCCGGGGTAACTGGAGGAAACTCACTAGCTAGCGCAAGGGGAGCCTGATCTACTGTGGGGCTGATGGTCGAAGGTGGAAACGTGGAAGAGGCAGCATCTAATCGTGCCTGCTTCTGGGGCTTACGTCGGGCCTTGAAGGCTCTAAGGGCTTCGGGGTCACTACGCAAGAGATTGGAAAGCTGAGGATCCATATCACCCCATGAAATGGGCTCGTCATCATCTTCTTCATTTTTGACACTAGAAGAGGTGTGTTGCCGTACTCTATCATGTTGGATACCGGCCATGTTTGATATCGTGGAGAGGGAGTTCTTGTGTGCCAGAAGAGCCTCAAACTGTGCTTTCGGGATGGGAGTATTCAGGTCGCCAGTGACCATAGCGTAAGTACCATCCGGGTGAGCCACTATCTTGAGTTGGGGGCCAATAATGTGCTCTACCGGGTTAGATGCTGCCAAGGTGGAAAGGAGCTCCGGCGGTGCCGCCTTAGGCGTAGGAGGCGCAGTCTCTGCAGGAGCGAACGCGGGCGCTTCCATTGCTGCTGCTTGCGCGGAGGAATCTTCTGCCATGGTTGGGGCCACCAAAAGTGTGCCGTAACCCAAGTGTTACCAAGAGATGAACAACATGCAAAAAGAGAGCTGGCGCAAAACCAAAATACAACGTTAGTATGACGCACTGTGCGACCAACCCAAGAGGATGGCGCTAATATGCGAAGTGTGTGAAAGTGAAAACCCAGTGGTTCGTCCAAAAGCCCTGCTGCCGGACCTACAGGGGTCCCGAGGGCGCGGGACAGCTCTGTGCTCGAGCCTGGAGGGGTGATTACAGAGGAATAAGTCTGTTTGAGGGCAGCCGGCGGGCTTGTGTGGACATTGGTGCAGGGCAAAGCGGAAGCCCCCTCAGGGTAGCTAATCGTTTGAGACCAATTGCAGAGATCTTTGTTCCCTTCTCTTCTGCTTCGGACCCTCCGAGCACCCAATCCTTCCAAACCGATCCTGTAACTTTTTGAGTCGCTCGTCCAAGATGCAATCTCTTGGTGTTGTTCACACAGAGACGACGGCATGTAAAGTTACTCGCATCTCAGCGTGGCAAGCGTTTCGGTTTCGCGTACTTCGGCTTCTATGCAGACGCTAGCATCTGATGGAATCCAATTCCTTGATGCCTGAGTTCCGAGACCATCAGGATTCCTCCCCCGGTGCCAGAGCATCTGACAGAGTCCAATTGCTCGTCATCCTTGCAACCCTTCAACCCTGATTGCCCGAACGAACAAAATCCCGCCCCAGCCGAATCTGAACCTCCTATACTGCCATTCAAAAGGAGTCAAGGGGGTGGGTTGAACAGTACACTTTCGGAGATCCCTGACAAGTTGTCCGCGTGGAAGTACGAAAAACTAGCAGACCGTCCGTCTTTTATGTGAATTTCGGAATGCTGGAAGCAGTTGGAGTGTTGGACGACATGTAGCTGGACGTAGCTTGTACACATGCAGCATGCGTTTGCTGGAAGTTTGAAGCAGGTTTTCTGGAATTACAAAGCCCACGAAGCTGCCAGCCTCCATGAAGCTTCTGGAGCAAGCGAACCCATAAGACCATAAGACGAAGCCCAGAATCGGACCTGTGAGTAGGCGGTCTGGCATGCTTTCCATTTTGTCGGCCATGGCCATGCGAGCAGCTAGGGATGTCCGAAGTCTTCGATCCTTGGGCTGGTCAGAGCTTGGGCGCCGTGGAGAAGCCACCAGGCTTTGATGCCTTCTGGGAAGAGCAGCAGGCCATCCACCGTGGGGAGAAGGAGCCGTCTGGGCTCGAGCATGACACGAAGGGTGGCTCGAAGGGTGGCTCGAAGGGCCCGAAGGGCGGCCTCAAGGGGAAGGGCAAGGGCCGCCGGCGGTACAACGTCCCAGAGCCCCGGGCTTCCAGAGCACGGCCCACACACTTTGTCGCCATTCGCCTGTTCTCGCGCATGATTCGCCGCAATGTGCAGCAGATGCAGCAGTGGTTCATTGCCAAGAATCCGCTCTTCGAGCAGTGCTTGGTGCCCGTCCGGCGCCTTCACTCATCCTTGCTATTGACATCTATCCCAAACGACAGGCGAGGTGAGGCGCAGGAGGCCAGCAAAGAGACCGCTTTAACACCCGCATTGTTAGCATCTTGTCGGTTCAATCAGCAAGTCATTTGAGAGTTTGTGAACAGCAGCCTGGACAGGCCTGCCATGAAGCGGGCGAGGAGATTCGCAGCTTGGCTTTACATTCTTTGGACTTCCTTTCTTGGCATATCATAATATGAATACTAGTCTTGATACCAGTACAAAAGCTTTGTGGGCTGGCCAGTGAGGTGACATGCTAGGTGATCAGCCAGTCAAGATCATAGCCAGTGGCATCAGCTGCTTCAACGGGCAGATTCTCTTCACTCGACTTCGGACAGAGCCGCATGACATGCTACAGGCGATTCACGATGCTCTGGCAACCTCATTTATGCGAAATGGCTTCCCGGTTTTGGACGAAAGTGCAAAGTCCTGGTTGGCAGAAGATGAAGCCCCACATGATTTCAAGGCACACGCTTCTTTCATCAAGGCGCCGACAATCAACGATAATTGCATGAGTAAGAGTCCCTGATTTAGTCCCTTCAGGTGATTCAGTGAGCAAGTGGTTCTCAAAGGTGTAGCCGTCCAGCTGTCTGCCCTTGCGAAGGTCTCCAAAGCACTGGCGCACGCGAAGACTGATGCTGACAAGTGACGCTGCTGCGATAGGTTTCTGTGTACGATGGGGGCAGATGTGGCAGCGTGTGACATGTTTTTCGTCGGTGAGGTTTTAGTGGCTTGAGTTGTTTCTCCCGAGGCGTCGTCTTCGGTCGCTGCGGGCGACATGTCACACAATGCGGTTTTTTGTTGGATCCAGGTCTTTTCTTGAAGCGAGGGTTCACGCTTTTCTTTGCCCCATTGCAAGCCGCTGCCACGAAGCGTTTTGGGGAAACTTCTGGATCCGCAGGGATCCGCGAGGTGACATGCGATGACCTGGATGCTTGGAGGCGGGGAGTTCTCATCTGCCTCATTCTGCACTCCGCGTGCCTGAGCCCAGGGACGTCTTCTTCGGCACCCAGATCTGCACCGAGGCAAGGCGAGAGAGCAAACACCACAAAAGGCTAAGCGTCGCCTGTGCGAGGATGTTGCGAGCGCCTGAAAGAGTCCCACATGACATGTGCACATGTCCTTGTTAGTGGTGATGTGCTGCTGGATTGCCGCAGTGACCCTCACATCTGGTTTGCTGCACAATGTTGCAGTTTGAGCTGCTGGACATGCTGGGCTCCTCTCACGATGGCTACTACCCGTGCCTCAAGCTGGAGCACTTCCACGACAGGAGAGCGTATCGGTTCTCATGTATTACTTGAAGGGAGATGGGGAAGTGATCGACAACTTGAGGACAGTAGGAAACGATTTGAGAGTGCGGGCGCGTCGCCGGCCCAGGACCATCGTTGTCAGCGAGCCCAGTCTCGATGTCAGCTTGACGGCTGGCCCCGTGCGGACCGCGCGGCCTCCGAGTTGCATCAAGATGGGAACCATAAACTCTGCAGCTAACACACCGCCTCGGTCCCCGCACTTGCTTACCCCATGAAGACAGCAGAGCGTGGCTGGAGGACCTCGGCCCCTAATATAGTCCAAGCCTTATTGGCCCCTGGGTTTTTTGGTCTCGGAGAGTCTCGCTCGAAAAATGGTTGGTGCACCATGGGTGCATCTTCCTTTCACTCCGTGAGAGCCACCATGTCCACCTGCATGCTTCCAGGCTGCGCGTTGATCCCAATGCCGGTGCTGGCATGGAGCGCCGGCTGCAGTGCACTTGGGCACATGGGGGGCACGCTTGCGGGGCACCATTGCCGGGCAGAACAGTTGTGGCGCCGCCTGGAGGAGCTGTCCGCCTGCGCCGCCGGCTATCTGATTGAATCCCTGCAGTCCTGGCCTGGGCAGCCGGACCTGCGGCCCAAGGATGTCATCGTCGCTGCCGGGGAGGCTTCTTGAGACTCTCCAAGCTCCCGGCATCGTTGGGGTAGGTATATTTTTGCTTTGGGCACATGTCGCAGGCTCTCCTCCTTGGGCTGCCGGAGGCTGAAATGGAGTCGGAGTTCGGGTCCGCCTTCAGCAACGGCACCGCAGTTGCAAGCTGAGTGAATTCGCGGGTCGCTGGCGTTTCGCAGCCGAGGCGCTTTGCTCGTTGTGGGGCCGTTGGACCTCCTGCTGAGCGAGCGCCTGGAGCATGTGCGCCGAGCTGCCAAGCGCCTCCTCAGCCCTTACCAGCAGGAGCCGGGGCTGCCCTTTTGCGGTATGTTGACGTGGTCATACAGTTTGCAAAACTTGGTACATGACCCATTTGACGGCAGACTCAGTATGCAAAGGAGACATGAGGTCGAAGCCCCAAGCTCATAAGCGCCCTAAACCCCAATCCCTAAACCCTGAGCCTGAAACCCCCAACACTAATTGTTCGTTTTTTTTTTCGATTTTTGAGGAGGCCTCGGGCCGGTCTGTGGCGTCCGTGTCCACGGTCCGCTCCGCCGCCGCGATGCCGCGCGGGAGGAGCCCCTTCTCAAGTTAGAGCTGGAGTTGCAAAAGTGTGTGTTCTTTGAGACCCACATACAGATACGCCCTCTACAAGTATATACGGAGCATATATGTATATATATATATATATATGTGTGTATATACATATATATATATATATATATATTATACAGTATTATATACATATACATATACATATACATATACATATACATATACATATACATATACATATACATATACATATACATATACATATACATATACATATACATATACATATACATATATATATATATACATATACATATACATATACATATACATATACATATACATATACATATACATATACATATACATATACATATACATATACATATACATATACATATACATATACATATACTGTATTATATAAATAGACATATACATATACATATACATATACCGATACATATACGTGTATATAAGTCTACGTGCATGCAGGAAGAAGACGATTTGTGTTGTATTGTAGATCAAGCCGTGTTCGGGCCATGCGATTCTTGCTCGAGGCGCTTCCAGCTCCGAGCCCATGCCCAGGACCACATCGGAGCAGCCGAGCAACATGAGCGGAAGAGTGCCATGCGGACTGAGCGGATTCTTTTGCTTCAGTTTGCTGTCCAGGAGTTCCGGCCCGACCCATTGAGCGCCCCTGGCGGGGACCCCTGGGCGGCCGCAGCGGAGCAGGGCCACGTGTACCCCCAGTACTCAGGCGCCGTTGGAAATGGCAGTTGTTTGCGGGTCAGAGCTGCAAGTGGTGGGGGGTGGCCTCTGGAGTGGAGCGGAGCAGTAATTGAGTAGTAGCGGAGTGGAGTGCCAGGTTGGGGCACGGAGTTCAAGAAGCGGAAGGCCACCGTCCTCGACTCCGGCCGCTTCCTACGCCAAGCGGAGCATCGAGCGGAGCCAGAGCCCGAGATCCCCCTGACGAAGGTCCACCAAAGGCTCGGTGAGATCATGTGAGAGAACCCTCTTCAATCCTCTTATGTGGTGAGGAGGAAGTGTATTGAGTACTGAAGTGTATTCCATGAAGTACCAAGTGTACTCCAAGCAGCTCTGCGAAGCGAAGCGCAGTTGAGTCGAGCCGACGGGAGGTTGGGACAAGACCTCTGCCGAGCTTCTTCCGAGGAGCCGGACAGTCCGACGTTTCTTACGTGCCGAAGTGCGTCTGCCCAAGATCGCAGGAGCAGGTGGTCAAGATCTTGCAGAGGGAGCGGCGGGTGCTTCACGTCTGCAACCGGATCTTGGCCCTCTCGCGGCTCGCCTCGCTGAGCGGTCCGAAGCCACCACGCCTGGGCGACCTGCTCGGCGACCTGCAGGAGAGCCGCAGCAAGCTGAACCTTCTCCATCACATGCATATTTAAGCAATTTATCTCGGGACCCAGGCTATCAGCCATTTGGTCTCTCAGGGACCGGCCCTATCAGCCATTTGGTTTGTCAGGGACCAACCCTATCAGCGATTTTGTGCCTCAGGGGCCAACCCTGTCCCCCCCCACCCCCATCCCCCCCCACACATCCCAAACAAAACCAAGATGTGTGGCCCCCCTGACCCCCAAACAGACCACCTAAGAGTTGGCCAGATCCAACAGACCACCTAAAGGCCTCCAGCAGACCTAACATTTTGTGGGTCCCGGCAAAGCACGCTTTCGGGGCTCACCGAAGAAGGTCAATGTTTGAAGCATTGCCCCCTTAAGAGTGGTCATAAATTGAGCTGTTTAAATTGTAAATCGCAAATCGCAGCACTGTCCCCCTAAGTTTTTGTCAGTGCCTTTGTTGAAGGAATGGTGAGCAACTGAAGCGTAAAGGGTTCATGAAGACCCTATAGTTTCTCAACGTTATGGGATTCTTTGGGCGGCTGGGTTTTTGGTTTCAGTCTACGCTCTGCACGCCGACAAGAAAGCGCTCGATCCGGAGTCCCTAAACCCTAAACCCTAAACCCTAAACCCTAAACCCTAAACCCTAAACCCTAAACCCTAAACCCTACACCCAAACCCTAAGTCGGTGCAGTGTTTGGGAGGAAGACCTGGAGACGATCGAGGAGGCCAAGTCCACGCTTCCACCCGGACAGCTCGCGCGCCCCGTGCTGCAAGAAAAACATGCCTACGCATTGTGGACTTGGGGGGGATGGCCGTGGGGGGAGTTTAGGGTTTAGGGTTTAGGGTTTAGGGTTTAGGGTGTTTGCCGTAGTGGCTCAGGAGCCTGGCGCTGTCCCTGGGCCGCCTGGGCTGGGGCTCCCCGGAGCTTTTCCGGTGCCTGGGTCTGGTCGTGCGCCGCGTGGGCCTCTGGAGCTTTGGCAACGGCCACTGCGCTTCGCTGCTGGAGGGCTTCTCCCGGAGCAGGCGCTGTGACGAGGCGCCCTCTCTAGGCTTGCGTCAGGGGCAGCTGCGAGCAGCGTAGGTTAAGTAGCGATTTCTTTTTTGCCTTTGCCAGGTCCTCTTCCAGGAGGCCACAGCTGCCCTGCCCAGGGCCGGTGGGGATTCTGAGCAGACCATAGAATTGACAAAGAGGGATTTGCGATTTGCCAACAGCCCCGATCTTGCTCTGGAAGGCCTCGCGGCTGATCATGGCCAGGGCGAGCTCGGGCCTCGCGAGCTCAGCCTTGGAGCCGAAGCAGCTGGCGACCATGGTGACGGCCTTTGCGTGCGCGAACATCTCGACGGAAACGCTCTTCTTCTTCGTCGGCGATCTGGTTTGCAAGCAGCTCAAGGACCTCAAGCCGAAGCTTCGGGACGCTCGGTGGCCCCTCCGGCTCTTGGCCGAGCTTGCCGATGCCTTTGCGCGCGTTCGCGCGCGGCATCCCCTGCTGCTGGATGTCGTCCCCGACCGCCTGTCGGAGTGCAGCTTCCTGAAGTCGGGCAGCATTGAGGCCCTCGGGAGAATGCGGAGAGCGCGCTGCTTTCAACCTCTCCTCTGCCTCCACATGTCTACTCCCCCTCTCCCCCTCCCTAACCCTATAACCCTAAACCCTAAACCCTAAATCCTAAACCCTAAATCCTAAAGCCTAAACCCTAAGCCCTAAAACCCTAATCCGGAGAGGCGTTGGTGCTGTTCTTCTCCGCCTACGTGGACGCGCGGCAGGGTTTCGGACCCGAAGGCCTGCGCGAGCGCCTCGTGGAGGCCTTGGTCCACCGCAAGGCGCGTTTTCAAGGAAGGGGAGGGAGAGGGAAACAAAGAGAAACAAGCATATGTGTGTACACAAAACGGTAAATGGTGTAAGTATGGAGGGGCGGCCAAGGGAAGGCCACGTGTGATCTCCGATGTGCTATGACAGGCCGAGCTCTCCACCACGCTGCTCCTGGGCTAGTTTGAGTGTGAACCCGAAACCCTAAACCCCCTAAACCCCCCAAAAGCCTAAATCCTAAACCCTAAATCCTTGCACCCTAAACCTTCAGGCTCCGCCGCCTCCTGCAAGCCAGCGCTCGAGCTCGCTGGCCTGGCCCCTGGGGGGAAAGAAAGGACAGCTCCATTATTTCGAACCTCCTTCCCCCCCTGCTCTTCTGCTTTTTGGTTGCTCCTTTTGCTTTTGGCTGTTTTGAGGCCAAACACATCCCTGCTCGATGTGGTTCCGGAGATTGTGCAGAAGGATCCTTCGCCGTGGGAAGTGGATGCGGGGGGCCCAGGTGCATCCACCGTGGACTTGGGGGCACTCTTTTGAGAGACTCCCCCAAAATGGGGTTTTACGAAAACATGAGACCCTAAATATTGACCCCCAAATCGTAGGATTCCCTTAGAAGGATCCCAACAAGGTACCCCCCTAATATCATAAACCCCCCCAGAAAAATCACCAACGTGGAACTTCTCACCGAGGCGATCTACGACTGCTTCTTGCAGCTCCGGGTGACGCCGCCTGCGAGCTTCCCCATCAGCGAAGAGAAGCGCCAGCAGCGCGAAGCCCGTCTCCGCGCCAGGGTGGAAAGACGAGAAAGAGAGACGCAGTGGAGGACGCCGGAGAGTGTGGAGAGTCAGGAGGCTGGATCCGAGACTTCAGGAATCTGCCTGCGCCAGTGCTCCTTGCGTGTAGGGGAGCAAGGGGCTGGGTTGGTGCTGGAGTGCAGCCGAGCTGGCTATCTGGTGGACGGGTGTCAGGACACGCCTCCCCAGGCAGGTCCCAGATCACAACCGTCTATAACAGTCTTGAATTATCTCTAAGTCAGGCTCCAAGGTGCAATAATGAGGGTAGCTAGTGCAATGCTGTTGCAGTACCCAAATGCACACGACGCACCCATTCTCAATGAAGTGTTTTTTGAGACGCGCGAGGAGCTGCAGCCCGGGGATGTCATCGTCGCCATTTCCAATTCTCTGCTGGTGGATTTGAGCGAGGACGAGCTGGAGCAGCGTTTTGGCGCCGAGTTTCGGAACCAGGCGCCGTTGCTGGTGGCCCCATTCCAGGAGTTGCAGAAATTCTCGCTTGAGCGCATCAGAGCACGAGCCGAAGAGCTGCTGGGAGGAAGCATGGGAAGTGCAGCACAAGAGGCAGATGCGAAAACGGCATCTGGACCGTGCCTTGAGTTGGATGCTCGGCAAGAGGATCCGGAGACCTTGGTCACTGCCGTGCCCCTGGGAAGAACTTCACCCACGCCGACAACGCAAGGCCAGGGGGCCTCCGTGGCCTCCACGGCGACGGCCTCCATGGCTTCCCCTGCCACGGCTGCCTTGACCCAAACGTCCCCTGCGGCAACCTCGTACTATCCGCGCCGAGACGGCCGAGGCCGAGGCCCCGCAGCCGCTCTCGCTCTCGCTCTCTCTCTCTCTCTCTTCCTCTCCCTCCCTCCTTCTCTCCTTACAAAAGTCAGGAAAGAAACCCAGAGCGGGTTTTCTTAGCTTTCAGAGCCCTTGCAAGCCAAGCAAAATGCGATCCAATCATAGAAGAGTATCTGCAACCGCATCTTGTAATATGCCGGCGAAACATTGAGATGTAGAGTAGAGGCGTTTGCTTTCCTTTGAAGATTTTTTGTGGGGTTAGTTCATGTGCTCCTGTGCATCGACTAGTGGCAGGTTCGGGAGCTCGAGTTTGGAGACCAAAACATCCGGCCGGCTAAGCTTTACACTCATGTGGAGAATTGCCAAGACAAGCTGTCGGCACCTGCCGGCTGTCGACCTGCGACAAGGACTAGGTGAAAGGCGTGTCGGCGGTCGAGATGCAGATGCACAGGTCTCTCTCCCACATGCCTGAAAAGCAGAATGCCCCTCCGAACGGCTCTACAATCCCTACGCGATGAATGGAGAGTGGCGTGACCCGCTGATCAGACGAGTCAAATCGGGTCGTGGCCTGTAAGTTTCTGGCTGCTACAGGGAGCCAGAATCTCTGAACATGTCGAGCGAGAGGTGCCACAAGTGTACCAACCTCCAGCAGCGGTGTGGCAAGATTCGCGCAGAGTAAAATGTCGATGTGCAAGTGCAATGTCCGGCACTTGTATGCCTCTTCGCATGTTCAGTCATTTTCACATATATTCACACTTTACCGGCAGAATCGTTTGTTCACATGCGGCGCCAGTGCTTGGTGCCGGGCGGCCACTTTCGCCGCACCGCCGCAATTTGATCAGCTCGTGGTGGACTAGGCCCGACCTGAGAGTGTGGTGTAGCTGTCCAACGTCAGACTGTTGAATCTGCGGTGGACCCTTTGCGGGAGCCATGGTCGGCTTCTCTTGGCCGTGCACAAAGCGACAGAGTTCCAGGCTCGTGCTTCGGCGTTCCATGCATGAGTGCAGCTTCCTATACGTTTGTAGATGACATTTTGCGGCTGCGTGTCAGGAGCGTGGTGCCGGAAGAGGAGCTCACAGTGGCAGCAATTGAGAAAAGCGTGATATCAACTCTGGTATGCCCGCAAGAGATATCATGCGACGAAGAGGGTGATATCCAGCTGGATGATGCCTTGCGCCCACACTTCATGCTGCTCCGGCGGCTTGAGCTGAAGCTTGGCTCCAATGCGCAATCACTGCGGCTGACGAGTCCGAAACAGGAAGAGGCCCAGCTGCCGACCGTGCGCTCCGAATTCATTGTGCCAACTGATGCGAGAGTACTGGGCTTCCGATACTGGGAGGAAGCTGGGAGCTCAGTTCCACGCGTACTCTGCACATGCCGCATGTCAGGATGGCTTGGCCCTTGCTCTCTTGCTGACTGCAGTCAACCCCCTTGTGCCTCTGAGTATTCAGGCATCTGTTGATGGCGGGTTCGTCAAAATGTACGACCCATACATCCTCTTGGACATCAAAGGGCAGCTGTACCTGGAACCACTCTCGCGGCGGTACGTGCAGTCTAGGAGTTTAGGATTCCCAGGGCGCCTCAAGTGGCTACCTCCAGAACTGGAGCAACTGGAGAAGCTGATCCAGGAGAAGGCGAACGATCCGAAACCAGACATCATCCAAGACACCATCGCAAGTGTTCCACAGGCCCGAGGTCTGACGTGTTCAGTAGATGGAGCGACGAGTTAGTCCTGTTTTTTTTTTTTTTTTGCGTTGCTATCCCGAGAGGTGATGGCCCTGAGGGCCATGGAAGGAAGCATCCACCACATTGTGGGATGCAAGTACAGTGATGGAGCAAGTCATATAGCACGGGTCGTTTGCCCGGCCATGCGCCATATTGCAGGATGCAGGTTTAGCAGAGGGGCGACTTGCATGCTCAGCACCATGAACGCTGCAACTGGCCAGTCTTTGATTTTTTGGTTCGATCTCTTTGTCCTCACTTTCGCGGCTGCCTCAGTGAGCCAGAGCGAGCTCTGGCAAGTCGTAAGTCGTAAATCCGTAGATCAGATACAGCATCGTTCTTGTGTGCGCATTCTGCTGGCGCAAGTCGTAGATCAGATCCAGCAACGTTCTGGGAAAGTATAGCATTCTGCGGCGAGTCGGTCCGAATGACAGTCTTGTGAGCCCAGGGTCTGTTCTATGCGGACATCATCTCAGACATCTACCAACTCGTCTTCTTCGCATCAAACGGGCTCTACGAGTACTTCTTCCTCAACTTTGCAGGGATGCTCCTGCCTCCAATCTTCACCTACATGGAGCTCATTCGCTTCAAGAAGCGTCACTCCCCAGAGCAGGATTATCTGCAGAAGCTTCTGACCCCGCAGCTCCTGCTTCCCCTTCTGTTCCTCGCCATGGCTTCGCAGACCCTCATGCTCTTCTTGACGTTGGTCTCCGCTTGCCTGAGGCAGCACCAAAGCTTAATTACAGGACTCATTTCGGATGCTCGGGGCCTGTGCTTGCTCGCTTGGACTGAGGAAACACCCCCTGCTCGCGGGAGCAAAGACGGCAGAGGCGCCGGAAGCGTCGAACGCACCCATGCCATTGGGACTCAGTGTCTGGTTTGCACCGGCACATCCGCTTAGGTCGCAGAATCGGCCATCTCCGCCCTGGTCCAGACCAACTTCCTTATTTCTGCCTGGGGTGGCGTTGAAGAAGTCGCAGCCCTGGAGATGCATATCAACCTGGGGAGCGGCATTCCCTTCTCGGTTGTGGTCTCGTGCCTGAGCCTGGGGTTTGGTTTTGCATCTCGGGACAAAACCGACTCCAAGGTGCTCGACCTCCCAGGCAAGCTAGGCTTTGGGGCGACTTTTATTCTCCTAGTTCTGGCCCGGTTCCTAGAGACCCTTAGCCGTGTCCTCGCTTACAACATATTCCACATCTCCGTTCGGGGCTGGCTGCAGTATGGCAGCTTCGTTGCCATCGGGCTTGCCTTGGTTGCAGCCAAAATCAGCTTCTGGGATGCTGCTCGTGCGGCCGATGTTGCTGCTGCTTGGCAGCAGGGTTGTTTGGACCAAGTGGAGTCAAGTCGCGTTGCGCTCCGTCTCCTTGTGAATGAGGCGGCGGTGGTCGGACACCCTGGCCAGGTTCTGGAGCCGAACTCGTTATTGCCGCTGCGGCCCCTTGGCATTCCTTGGTCAGTGCGTCAGCGGGTGGGCTCGTGTGCCACTACGTACAGCTAGTTATCAGCTATTACCGCAGTATGAACAGTAGTATGAACTAGTAGGGCCAGGGAAGGTGGGGGCCTCTGAGCACAATGGCTTGTAGTTTCTTGGACAGGCGCTCTTTGGTGATTCACGTGCTGCTGGTTGCTGCCGCCGGTGGTGCCCAACTCGTGCTGCGAGCGGGCGGGGCTCCATCAGATTCCAAGGCGAATGTTTGAGGGCGCGAGCCGAAAGACCCCAAAGAATGACCCGCATCCAAGACATATGATGTTCTCTCAAACCTACATGACAGTAGTATCCGGGACATCGAAGGTCTTGCCGGATGAGCTGCTGCTCACATGGCTTGCGTCGAGCTTGGCCTCCCATTTCCTGAGGCAATGTGAGAGAGGCACATTCTATCCGACCGTATCACATTGTCACATGCGTGGCGGAGCTGAGGTGATCAGCGCTCTCAGCTGGATGGCGCTCTGCCTCTTCAGTCGCTTTGAAGAAGTGTCGATAAAGATGTACAAGTACTGTGCAGCACCATGCTTGAGGTTTGCGCGGCCGATATTTGGACAATCCTGTCTTCGCACCTCTGGAATCAGGCAATCTGACAGTCGTAGACTGGGCAGCAATGCTCGCATCCTCGGGCTTTGCGCTCTCTTTGTGGTGCTGCTAGGTGACCGGATCATCACCTACTCGGCCTTGCTGGCCGCCTTTCGAAACTCAGAAGATCAGGCTCAGGTGCCGAAGGCGGTCCTCTCGGCCTTACAGGGGGGAAAGCGCACTTATATCGTCAGCCTGAAGACCGAAGAGGCGGCGACCCGGACACGGAAAGCCTTCCAGTGAATCCTTACAGGTGTGGGCAGGCCGTAGGTCTCTGCAGAGTTGCATAGAGTCGTAAAGGTCAGCTTTTAAGAGAATGTTTTGTCAAGTGAGGTGCGAGGCCTCAACAAGAATGGTTTGGAGTCGCTCCTGCTGTATGGAGCAGGCGCCCAAATCCATTCAGGCGCACTCAGCGAATCCGAGGAAATCACCCAGGAATCCATCGTTGAGCTTGTCCATCGCGCGACGCCAACAGCATTGCATCTTGATAGGTTCTGCAGGGTAAGTTCGCAAGCGTGGCAGCGCTGCGAGCACGCCCAGTGGTGGAAGCTCAGGAAGGCCAGCTTTGTCGCGCGCCTCGGCGGAGAGGGTGCTTTTTGAAACCATTGTGTCTCTGAGCCCTCGGAGGGTGCTTCTTCTGTTTTTGGGAGTCGCAGGACAGGTCATGGGCTGGGCCTTTGAACCCTTGATCCCCGTTATGCCACTGTCCCAGGTGTTTTGGCTTAGATTGCGAAGGTGCCGCTGCGGGCGCCGCCGGGCTGCTGTTGGCCCTGGGCCACTGCCGGGAGCTTGAGGACCCGACCAGTCCCGACCACTGCTGCTGCTTCGTGATACGTAGTTTTTGGGGCCTGACGTCAAGGTGGCCTCTGAGAATCTTCCAGACATGCGCCTGAACCCTGAACCGTGCAAGTCTGCAGAGCCTAGAGGCTTGGTCTTCATCCCACTGCGTGACATAGTGCTTGAAAAAACATGGTCCCACACCCGAGATTGTACGATGCGCTCACTACTCACCCTGCAGCCCAGTTGGCTGTGTGACCCCTTCCCCCCTTGCTGGGGCGAAGGGGACGCCGGCCAAAAGAGATGCCAGGACCTCGACATGGGGTGGTGTCAAAGAGTCCCGGCGGACGCGTGGCGGCAGCTCGAGCGCGCCCAGTGGCCGAAGCTGAAAAGAGCGTGCTTCGCTCGGCGCCCTGGAGGGCGCTGCGTCTGCTTTCTGTTTTTTGGAGGGTTGAAAGGGATTCAGGGGCAGGGGAGGGGCAGGGGAGAGAAGGGCTGGGCCTCTGGACGCTTGGCCCCCCTCCTTTTTCCCATATTGACATCGGACGGCCGAGGTGTTTTGGCAAAGATTGCGAGGGCGCTGCGGGCACCGTCGGTCTGCTGGCGGTGCTGGGCAGCTGCCGCCAGCTGGAGGACTCGAGCGAATCCCAAGATCCGTCCTGGCTGCGCTGCTGCTTCGTGATACGTAGCAGATTTAGCAGATCGTAGAAGTGCACTTGAAAGCCTTGTGTTTTTTCTCGCCAACAAAGCTGTTTGTTGATACAAAACTTTTCTGAAGACATCGTGTTCGCATGTCTCCATTCCTCAGGGTTTCCTTTCAAGGCCTTCTTCTCAGGCCTAGTTTTGGTCTTTCTTCCCAAGCCCGCCCACCCTGGATGTCATTAAATTGTCGGAAGGTTATGGAGGATGGCTTTTGCGCTTCTTGCGCCACCCATTCCTCTCTGCCTTCAAGGGACACCTCTTGTGTGATGTTGGTTTGGCATGTGTCTATCAGATATCAGAAAACCGGTGGAGTGTCGTCCACCTACGGTTTGTATTGATTGAGACGCTGCCTGGCCAGAACGTGCACAGCAAAGCAGTAGGTGCAGACATATCTCCAGTGGCTGTCGAGCTCATTTGGCATTTCAGTGCATCCAAGCGAAGCCGTGCGTGAAGAACAAGTCTTGTAAGTTTGTTTTTTTGGGGGGCGAGGGGCGATGTCCAGGTCGGCAGTTCCACGGGTTGAGAATCTACTAGACGCAGCCAGACGCGCACCCTGAACCTGTAGAGTCTAGAAGTCCTTTCTCAGAGCCGCCTAGACGGAGTCTTGGAGCATCGCCTAAAGCTAAGGTTCAACACAGGGGGGGGGTTGCAGGTGGGTTTCTGTCCTCAGGCCTTCAGATCTCCGAGATTGTGAGAGCAGCATTGTGAACTAAAGTTCCAGCCAAAGACGCCCAAGGAAGATTCAACCCTGAAGCATTGAGTGGCTGTCGAAATGCTTTCGCTACAGCCCAGTTTGCCGTGCGTGTGACCCGTTCCCCCCCTTTGATGGGGCGAAGGGACGCCGGCCAAAAGAGATGCCAGGACCTCGACATGGAGGGGTGTGACCAAGTCCCGGCGGACGCGTGGCGGCAGCTCGAGCACGCCCAGTGGCCGAAGCTGAAAAGAGCGCGCTTCGCAATGCGCCTCGGAGGGCGCTGCGTCTGCTTTCTTTCTTTGGAGGGCTTCAAGGGATTTAGACAGGGGAGGGCAGGGGAGAGAAGGGCTGGGCCACTGGACGCTTGGCCCCCCACCCCCTTTTCCCACGTTGACATCGCCGTCCGAGGTGTTTCGGCTACTTTTGCGAGGGCGCTGCGGGCGCCGCCGGTCTGCTGTCTGTGCTGGGCAGCTGCCGCGAGCTGGAGGACCCGAGCAGAAACCCGAGATCCGTCCTGTCCGCGCTGCTGCTTCGTGATACGTAGCAGCTTTAGCCGATCGTAGCAGTGCACTTGAAAGCCTTGTGGTTATTCTAAGTTCCTTTTTGTGGGGGGTGCAGGGCGATGTCCAGGTCTGCAGTTCCACGGGTTGAGAATCTACTCGACGCAGCAACCGTACAAGCCTGTAGAGCCTAGAAGTCCTTTCTCAGAGACGGCGTCTTGGAGCATCGCTTCGCTTCAAGGTTCACCGCAGGGTGGGGTTGCATGGGCTTTTCAGTTCAGGTGGGTTTCTGTCCTTAGGCCTTCAGATCTCCGAGATTGTGGGCAGCATTCTGAACTAAAGTTCCAGCCAAAGACGCCCAAGGAAGACTCAACCCTGAAGCATTGAGTGGCTTTCGAAATGCTTTCGCTACAGCCCAGTTTGCCGTGTGACCCGTTCCCCGCCTTGATGGGGCGAAGGGGACGCCGGCCAAAAAGAGAAGCCAGGACCTCGACATGGGGGGGTGTTCCCAAGTCCCGGCGGACGCGTGGCGGCAGCTCGAGCGCGCCCAGTGGCCGAAGCTAAAAAGAGCGCGCTTCGCTCGGCGCCTCGGAGGGCGCTGCGTCTGCTTTTTTCTTTGCTTTTTGGAGGGTTTAAAGGGATTTAGACAGGGGAGGGGCAGGGGAGAGAAGGGCTGGGCCTCTGGACGCTTGGCCCCCCTCCTTTTTCCCATATTGACATCGGACGGCCGAGGTGTTTTGGCAAAGATTGCGAGGGCGCTGCGGGCACCGTCGGTCTGCTGGCGGTGCTGGGCAGCTGCCGCCAGCTGGAGGACCCGAGCAAATCGCAAGATCCGTCCTGGCCACTGCTCCTTCCCGAGACGTAATTGGGCACATGATCTCCGAAAGTTGCGAATGTGTTGGGGGTGAAGTGCTGCCAAGAGCTCGCAAGGTCTTTTTAAGATGCGTCCTGGCCAGTGCTGCTTCGTCGTGATCGTGGTGCCCTGCCCTGCTGCTTCAACCGATACAATGCGCTCTGCAGAGCTTGATTTGGTCGCTTCCCAGGAGCTCGATCTCGACGATTGCCATCAAATCCCTGCCGACGCCTGGGAGCAGCTGCCTGACGACGCCTGGCCCGCTCTTCGAAACCACGAGGGCGTCCCGGAAGAGCACCTGGAGAGGCTGCGCGGAAGTTTGCGCGACTGCCCAGGCAGGGCAAGGGTACTGAGTTTACCCTCCTCTGGAGAGATGAGCTCCCTCAGCCGCCCCCTCCTCCGCAAATCTTTGTTGTTTTCAGCACAGCACACCCAGAAGCATTATGAAGCATCCGTCGTGACACTTTACGAATCCAGCATGGTCTGGTCTCGGGCCTCGGCCTGCTACACGGTGCTGTTGCTGGTGCCGGACGCCCCGGAGATAAATGTCTGCTGGGCCTGCTGCCCAGATGATGTGGGAGATGGCGCCCGCATTGAATCGGCCTTTGACGCATCATCTGCCCAAGTGGCGAGGAGCCGCGTGTCCCCCTTGCCCCGCTTGCTGCTTGCCCTTTTGGCCAGGAAGGGAAGAGTTCGGACAGGAGGGCGGAAGACCAGGGGGCGAGGGGGGGGGGAGACATAGGGCAAGTGAAGCAAGTCGGGCAAGCCGGGCAAGTGGCAGAAATCGGTTAGCGGTGCAGATATGGCAAGTGGGGCAAGTGGGGCAAGGGCAAGCGCTGAAATAGCGGTGCCGCGCCGGTAAGCCAGGAGCAGTATTTGACGCTACAAACACGGGATTCTCGCAAGAGTAACGTCCGGAAGGAGGCGGAGGAGAAGAGCTTGTAGCAAGCTTGTGGATGGATAGGCATGGTGCAGCTGCAAGCAATGTTGACACCGGCTGCACATTGGGGATGCTCTCCTCCTGTTCTGTTCTTCCGCCTGGTTGCCGTGTGGCCTTGCGCTATCTCGGTCTCGTTTTTTGGTGAGTGATGTAGTCATCGTAGTTTTCGTGTTTGAGCAGCACCCGAAAGTGGTTGCAGCTGCCCTGTTGCATTAGGGTGATCAGCCGCGCCTTATCGGAGCATACCGTTACACTCATGCTGATCGTGGCGCATTGTCCACCAAGCATTGTCCATGCAGCATTGTCCATGCGGCATTGTCCATGCAGCATTGTCCATGCAGCATTCTGCATGGAGGTGCCGGCACGCCAGACGAGCTGCGGGTGGTCCACGTGAAGCTGCATGCAATGCACCGGATGAAGACACCTACGTCTGTGATCATCCCGGAAGCACCAGAGGAAGTGCAGCTTGCTGTCGGGCTGCTGTTGGGCAGTCCTTATGACAATCTCCAGGACACGACATGACGTAGCCAACGTTCAAGAGGTTCGCGAGAAGTTTCACGCCGCTTTTGAGGGTAGCGTGGGCACAGTGTGGGCACAGTGTTGATAGTGTGGTCTTCATCTCTCGACGCAGCCTCCAGAGTGGAGCTGGCGCCTAAAAGAGCCCAGGGGACGCCATGCCAGGACCTCGACATGTGGCGGTGTTTCCAAGTCCCGGCGGTCGCGTGGCGGCAGCTCGAGCACGCTGAGTGGCCGAAGCTGAAAAGAGCGCGCTTCACG